TTATATTTTAATATTTCCAATATTTCGCTTTACTTTCATTTAGCGTTATATTTAAATTTCTTGTAGAAATTATTAAATTTATTCCATTTTTTTTTTTTTTGAGTTACTTTTATACATACTATTATCATCAAGATACACACGGTACAGGTTGATTATTTAAGTAGGTGTGCACTCGTATATGATTACTTATTGATCTCTCAGACCACATACGATGGGAGACGTTTGATAATTATTTCGTATCGTAGTTTATGATGCAACTGAACGACGGCGATCTCAACCGAAATACTGAATAATGTTGTTCGTAGGTACTAAATACATTTAATGAATTAAATTTTCCAAAAATTATACCAGGTTTCCGTTTAAATCGTACATATCACTGCAGCTATCAACGATTCGTTTACGATGAAAGTTATCGTATTTCAGCGATGACGATATGACCGCCATCGGTAATTAGGTTTTCTGTAAATATTAAGTTTTATATTATCTGTAATGCACTTTAATTTTTTATTAGCTTACATTATTACGTTTCATAAATATTTGTCCGTTATATTGGGTTAGGGGATAAAAATCACTAAATGTAAGAATCGCCCATCGAAATAGACGATTATCGAACCCTCGGATGTATACTACCGGTAGAGAGTAAAAATAATTAAAACGGTGTAATCCCCTGTTACACTTACATGATTCTTACTTCCTCCGGGTAAACATTTGATTGGCAATAATATCTGTGACACCAAGCTTAGTATCCGATAATCCAATTGGATGGATTTGAACACATTTTAGTGTACGAATATGTACACTTCATGTAATTTCTTCAATATTGTTGCTATCCTTGATATCTGAGAGTAAGGAAATTGTTGTTTAATGTAGTTGGAAATACATTTATCCATTTTCGAATTCACCTGAAAATAAGAGACTGATTTAATCGTTGATTTCGATTATTTGAACTTAACCCACACTTGCTTATTAATTATATAGTCGTATGATTTTCTCTTGCGCACCTCCGCGTTGATTTACCCTTTTCCATTACATATTCTTCATTGATATAAAATCTTTTGGTGATAGACTGGTCTAGATCTAACGTAAAAATAAGAACAACTACATACAGTTGTATAGAAGGTGATTTGATTAATGATTAACGATTGCTTTATGATTAATATGCGCATATACTTCATATGATTATATTATTACCAAAGTATGATATACCTAGTCCACTACAATTCACGTACAATTTCTGGCCAATACGTGAGTATTACTAATTTTTAAAAACCAACAATTTTAATCGAAATGTGTATAATAAATAATGATGACTAAGAGTTCAAAATATGCTTGTCTAAATTAAATAAAAACTAAAACACAATTGAGGCTTATTAAGTTGATAAATTAGTTTAACTATACTTTCTCTGCCGGTTTCTACTGTTTAGTAATTAATCCATGCTGTATTTATTATTATTTCTGAAGTGTATTGTATATTTGTTCGGTCAAAACTACATAATAAAAATCTACTTATAATTATATTATTTTTAAAAATTTTAACTCTCGTTTTCAGATTGTATACATCTTGTTGAGTGTGTCTGTGTTGGCTTCAACGTTTACACGAACTATGATTTATAAGTATTTACTATTGAACATTTGTAGAATCAGCATTATGTTCTGTTGCAATTTTGTTATAATACAGTTAACATCGCTTTACTATAAAGCTAAACATTTATTTAGTCGTATACCAATATGTATTATCAAAATATTTATGACAGCTGTGCTAATATTATTAAATGAAATTAATCTAATTATTAGTAATATTTATATCGAAAATCATATTTAAGCATAAAATAAATAAATACCATCCTGATGACATTTAACAGTACTTTGTATTGTTTATAAATCATCGTTCTCATTTTCAGTATAAATGGTATTAATAATATTTTTTTATTTTTATTTATTAAAGATTAAGGCGGTAATTTAAATACAGATAAACAATCTCCTATTGAGATAATAGATTAAGACTTAATAAATTATTATTTATATGTAACTTAAGTATATTCTAATGATATATTATAATATAAAAATGGTAAAACGTCAGCGGTAACTGACATCAATGGAAAACATTATATTATACATTGATATCAGTTCCAATTGGTCATTTATCATAATAAAATTAAAAATACATAATTCCACAAAAAATTACCATTGTCTAAAAATAGTTTTCTTATTGGATTCTGAATTTTATGAATTAGATTTTGGCATTTAATTTTTATTGAAAGTTGTATTGATCGTACGTATACTTACTATGTAATTTTTTGACATTTTACAATTTTTTTTTTTTTTATATTTTTATAAATTAATTGTTTTCGTGTTATAAAAGTGCGATTGAGACACTAGCTTAGTCTACAGTTACAGTTTACATTGCATAAAAATAGGTCTTATTTTTGATTTATGACCATAACTTATTTGAATGTATTATTTTTGTTACATGTTTTGTGATGTGTGAAAAATAATGATAACCTTGGTCTTGTGTTTTTGTAATTTTCTATATATATAATAATAGTATTCTTAAAGACTGTGAGAAATTGAGACTTTAAAACTAGCATTTTATCATTTTGATACAAACATTGAATTTTCACATAAATTTCATATTGTTTAAATGTTATTAAAAAGCAATTGTTGGAAAATAATATTTTTTAATTTTTCGTCTTCTACAATGATTCAATTTTGATAAATACCGTGTACTTATCAAATGGAAGCTTTAATGCCACAGCACTTTCAAAGGTTTTTTTTTATAAAACTTTATTTATCATTGTTAATTTAAATAAAACCATTATTTTAAATTCAAACATAGTTTTAATAATTTCAAATACTTTTATGGTATGTAACTGAAAATAAACTTTTAAGAAACTATTTCAAGAACATTAGTTTAAACTATTATTCCTTTGAATTTGATTGTTTATAGAAGTAATTCAAATACAATTCGAAAATCTCAATAAAAAATCAAAACATAACATATCTTCTATTATACATGTCTGGTAATAAGAACTATAATGATAACTTTTTCCATGTTGGAATGTCAATTTCCATTAAACTTGACCATATAATCACTACTTTTCCATAATGTTTTTCAAATAAAACAAATGATCCAATATCAATCTGTTCAAAAAATATACGTTCATCAATTTCATTTATCTTATCCAAACCTAGAATAGTTAACCAGACCACAAAATTGTGATCTGCAGAGTTCTCAAATATCTTGTTACAACAACTGATATCGAAGCAATATTTATTTTATAGCTTTCCTTATGAAAGTAACGACAGTAATGGCTAAAATAAGTCTACGTTTTGTTTACGAGCAGGACTAAAAAATTACGAAAAAATGTAATTACCTGCACAGGTTTTTTTAGTTAATTAAAAATAGTGTAAATATTTCATAAAAAATATAATACGATAAGTTATACACGGTTCTAATCGGACGCCATACGTAGTAAATAATTTTTACTTTTTAGTTTTTTTATAAATGTAAAAATATTTTTGAGATTTACGATTTAGATTATGTGCAAAAAATGTTTGATCTGTATTGAGAACGAGTGTTCGCGCGCAAGGTGTGTTTGAAAAGCGAAGAAAAAAACTGATAAAAGTTCGCTGTAATAAACCAGGGCTAGGATTTGTATGCAACAGCATGTTTTTTTCTTGCGACTTCTGATTATTGATTTTGTCAGTAATATCCACGAATCACCTCATTATGAGATAGTTGGTGGTGTTTTTATTTTACATGTTATTGCATATCTTGAATAAAATGTATATTATTACATATATTGAATAAAATTAATATTATTGCATATTTCAATAGTTAGAATGCGAAAAATTAATGTTTCATAGTATATTTCGTAATTAATATTTATAATTGAATATTAATATTTCTTATTTAATTCTAGCCCTGCTGTTTAATGTATAAAACTTGCTTTTTTCGTCAAACATAAATTTTATTTAAAATTATTTTGTTTCATTTTATTTCTCAATTATATTATATTAAGACAAACAGCCAACCGTCGGTGTATTTCAATAAATAAATATTTTTTTTTGTAACTATATTTTTGTGTTTATCTTATAAAAATTTAAATACGTATTTTTGCATGTTTTGGTAAATAAAATGCATATTTTACAATTTTTTTATTGCATACAAATCCCAGAGCCCTGGTAATAACAATAACAATGATAATAGTGACGAATAGAGCATAGTTGTGCGCAGGGGGTATGTAGAGTAATGCAACTGCATACCTTAAATATAGAGCCTTATATCTAAAATTACGAAAAAATTAATAAAAATCATGACATATTTGGTCTTATGTATATTATGTGATTTTGTATTACATTATGATTTTAATATATTTTTATATTCGGTCCCAGACAGTTTAATTTATTTTTGAAACACAAATCATATGCTATAATAACGATTTGATGTGTTGATGAAATTAAGAAGTACAATAATTCAATCCCAAAAACATTATTGGTGATATTAAGAACTCAACTGTACGCAGAATCGTTTTATGATCAATTTTGATTACTTATCAAATTTATTTTGTATTTCATCTAAGTGTATGATTACGTTTTTATTTATTCACGTTATTTTAACGTATTCATCGAACCATTTCAAGCGTCACAATTTCAATTATGAAGACAGTTATAACGATTAAGGAATGGCTATTCAGTCACTTTTTTCGAGAAAAAAAGTTAAAATTTTAAATTAAATAGTCATTAAGAACCAGGATTTCGAACGCTTAAATTAACTTACAGTTTTAAGGGGAGGGATGGGGGGAGTATGCAGTGCCAACGTTTTGCATACCCTGAAAAAGAGGTCCGCGCACGCCTATGGAGTGGAGATCGCGACGTTTCTGGACGGGGTCGCCGGGACCGTCGCGTATTCCAGACGTTCGGTCGGCGCGCGCACCCGCCGAGACCGGTTCCGGTGACGACGACCGTCGGGGAGACATGCGCGAAGAGACAGTCCGGCTGACTGTATCACCGCGTCAGTACAAAAGCGCAGCGGCACCGAGTTAGTTGCCAGTTCGGCCGATACGTCTCTCGCGCGCGTCCGTCGACAACAATTATCCACGGGATTTACCGTTCGGTTAAGGGATTCGATTGGGCTGTTCGAAATGAACACCATGTTCGCTGCCGCGGCACTGTTGACGTGCGCCGCCCTGTTGGCGGTGGCCGCCGGGAACTTGCAGACCATCAACGAGTGGAACTTGCTCCAGTACGACGTGCCGTTCAACTACCCCAACGCCGACTCGTATAAGCCCGAAGTCACCGTGTCCACCGGAATCGAAGTCGGTAAGCGAGACCCTTTTTTCATGAAAACATTGCAGCCGAATTTCAAGTTACTCGCCCGGAGAGTCTGAGACAACGCATATGCCGCGAATATATCGTTTTTAACGATCCATCGTGGATAAAAAAAAGAAAAAAATTCTAAGCACTCGTCTTTTTCCTTTTTGATTTTCGTACTCTATTTTTTTTTTTTTTTTTTTTAGTGAATTCGTCCACGTGTCTTAATCACGTCGAGCTGTGCATTTATTCAATAATTACATTCGGACACTAAATAATGATTACAACCAACTGCGCTTACTGTCGATAACAATTCGTATCGATTTATTCTAGAAAAAATTCATTAATTTAACTCGAGTTTTTACAGGAACCGTAATTTTTTTTTTTTTTGTTATTTAATTGGAAATTACCGTTCGCAAACGGTGCAAATTATTTTTTGGATTTTTAAAAATATATTTACCAAAAGACATAGCGATTTATTCAAAATATTCATTTATGTTGATCAATCGTATTCGTATTTTAATTGCAATATAATCATAAACATTTAGTATGCTAATTATTATAAGCCAGCTGTAATGGGTCAGAAAGTATCATAACAATTCGTATTTTTATATAATATGTGTTATGCTTTAACGATGCCCATGTGCGTTGAAGTCTCCTCCGTACGCTCGAATCGTAGATATGATGAAATTGAAAACATTGTTTCGACGGTACAGACAACATTTTTTAATTATCTGATGTGTGATCACGTAAGATTTATTTTTCGAAATTATTAAATTTTATTTTCCTTCATTACTACATCATTACTAAATATTATAATATATTAAGATTGCTATACAAAAATAAAAATAAAATTTTAATAAATAGTATGGTAATTTGAGACGTGTCTTATATATGCTTGATTTATTTCGAATGTTTTGACTAAAATTAAATAATTAAAAATTAATAGTATAGACTGTGTTCATAATTGGAATTCAATTAAATAAAAAATACAAACAAAACTGTAAAACATAATATTAAGAAATGTTTATACTATCTATTTTACTTAAACTCTTATTTAGTATAGTTTATATTGATATATACTTATATAAAAAAATTAAATTATTAATAACTATAAATAACTTATTTTTGAAAACCATAATTTTTTATAGTAAATAAATGAACTAATAAATTAATAAGCAACAATAATGTATCTATAAACATGACAAATTCATTTTTATCTTATTATTAAACCAATATTGAATTAAACTCGTGAACTATTAATCATTTTTCAAAATATTTGAAATGTAAATAATTTTCTATTTTCCACCAAAGTTTAAAAAAACGCGAACCCACCTTTTAAATATAGACATGTTTTTATACTGAAAATGTATAAACTTTCCATGCAGTTTTAAATAAGTATCAATAATTTTAATTATTTTTAAAACTAAAGTTTTCCATATATTTCTTAATAATACATCTTCGTTTGTACGATATCTATAAGTTTCGGGCTGACTTTTTGATTTTTATGTACTACATTTGTTATATTGTTCTATGTTTTTATCTCTGGACTTTTCTTACTTTGTCTAAAGTTCTTACTTTTTTTTTTACTACTATTTGAATCTTTTGCAAACAATTTTAACAACAAATAAACCCAGATAGTTGATACAAGTCGTTTCTTTTACCACCTACCTCCAAAGTTATTCCTTAATTTTCCTTAGTTACAGAAAAACTAAAATTAATTGAAAATAATGTCACACAACCATCTATTTTAATTTTTATAAAATGAAAATTTTGTGTTTATAGTTTGCAATCCAAATAGATTAAAAACCAACTATTTTATTTGATCATAAAAAAAAAAATAAAAAATTGGAGATTTGGCCAGGTAAATTTTTTAAACTAGTTTCCAAATTTGAAATACACTTTATATTATTATTTTCTGAAGTATTTACTATTATAGAAATCTTCAACGTACATATATTTATTTATACGCCATACATTTATTGTATTGATGTAATGTTGAACGACAAAAGCAAATAATACATATATAAAAAAATAAATATATTTATGTTTTATATTTACACTTAACTTTTATATAAATAACTTTTTTATAAGTAATAATTTATCTATGCTTTTGACATAATTAAAACAACCAAAATCAAATAAAAAATATATTCACAAGGAACGGTCGGCCAGTACCACCCGTTTTCTTTTACAAATTCTACTTATTCAACAGTATTTCATACATTAGTATTGCTCGTATTTTTCATTACAATTAATACTTATAGTGCCTAATATTAATTTAACAATTATTATTTTGTGATTTCATTCCAAAATTTCAAGCAATTAGATATTTATTTAGAATTTTTTCTTACTATAATTTTTTTTTTAATAACCAACTGTTAAGTCAAAGTGGTAAATAAAATAGTTATACAAACATGATACATTATCATAATAAAAATATAATATATTTCTCAAAGAAATGTTAGTTAAATTTTTTAAAAAAATTATATTTTATACATACATTCGGAAACATAAATGAAAAATATTTTTTAATGAATTTCTTTAAAAAATTTTCCTATTTATTATAGGAACTCAATATTTATAATATTATTATCGTTATTTTACTGTGATATGTTTAACTAATATTTTACATACAATTATCAATACAATATAATAGAACACGTTTTCTTAATTTTAAGAATAACATTTTTTAATAATTAAAAAATAAATTAGATTATATTACATATTACATTCGAATAAAAATTATTTTTATTCAAATGTAATACTTAATAAATATTATTAAATACTGTTTGATAGTATTAAACTTAAAATGTTTTTTTGTAATATTTCCAGAGAAAACAAGATTTCATAATTTGATTATGCTATTTTTAGTCTTTATTCTAGAAGTTACGAATGATGTTCATTACCGTCAGTGTTTAAACTAGATGGCGCCATGAATTCAACGGTTATTGTTAAATTATTGTTAAAGTGAACTTATCGTAACTTTAAGTAAATCTTTATTAAATATAAGATTCATTTGATAATATATTTACCTTTAACTGTTGTTGTTTAAGATTTATTTATAATATCATGTGGATGGATATATCAAAGTGTATTTTTTTTCAAACAGAAAATTTGGGTTTGTAGTTTAGTTTTACCTTACTGTTGGAATTAAGTTACAAAATAATATATATTATTCGAAATAAATTTCAATTGCCTATGAGACCACCGTTAGTAATAATAATTCAATGTTCCAACTACAATAAATTGATAAAAGTTTCAGCCTTCGACGAAGAAAACATTGAAAAATTATAAGTTTTTTAATTCAATAATATATATTCCAGGATATATTTATTATAAATGGTTTTTTGATGTATTTTATAATTAGAACTAAATTCATATTGAAATTCGTTGGAAATTTGAACATTAATTTTTCTATTGAAATTGAAATTATAACTGAAAGCTGTTGTTTTTATTTTAAAAGTTCTTAGAGATTTTTCGAAAAATACCTCTGCGTTTACCGCTATCGTAGTTATCGTTAGTTGTCTATATATATTTTTCAGATCGGAGCAACAAAAACTAGAAATACAAATTGTTTACGAGAATTTCTTCAAATTTGATTATTTTTTCAATAATTTGATGCAATCGATTGATGATGTTCTGTTGGTTATATTATAGTTATGAAGAGTATTACAATTTCGCTAAATGTTATGTTATCAGGTTGGGACAGAATTTTCATTACGACTCCGAGATTGTTCAGTGGAAACCCAGCAACTCTAGCATGGATACCACGTAGCCGTGCTGGTATAACTTACGAAACGCATAAATCACCACTGTTGCAGGTAAAAATTGTGCTTACAGTCTATATGGGAAATTTAAACGATTGAATTAACTCATAAAAATGTTAAGGCTTATCCCAGCTGGGACTGGCACAGTGAAGCGTCCAGCAGAGATATTTTGACATCGCCAAGACCCAACTGTTCCAGTTTGATATCCGTGTTCAGAGTCCGAGCGGACAGGTGCAATAGGCTTTGGGTTCTAGACAGTGGTGTTATGGACAGTATTGAAACTTTCAAGACGGTTTGCCCGCCCAAACTGATGGTGTTCGATATGAGAACCGATCGAGTGGTAAGTTTTTCCGTGAACCGATGAATGTAAATCAATGAATAAAGTTTATACACAAATAATTATATTTTTGTTGACAAGCAACTTTGCAGTATATATATTTAATATGTATTGTACAAATATATTGTACAATATGTATACTCGTACTGATATTTTATTATTATTATTTTTCTGTCAACACTTTTTCGGACCATAAAACTTTTATACAAAAGTTCTGTGTAGGATCTGAGGATTTAATTAGAATGGAAGTTAAATACTAAAAAATTAGAAGATAAGTAATTTTAGATTTTTCTAAAAGTTTTTCCTTGATCAATAAAAAAAACATAAAGTTTAAAATGACAATTAATTAAATTTTAGAAGAATTGAAATTTAATTTCTAAGGATCAAATATTGTTTTATTGTAGATAATGTCATTAATTAAATTTTAGAAAAATTGAAATTTAATTTCTAAGAATAAAATGTTGTTATACTGTAGATAATTGATGGATAAAATGTTCTTATCACAATTATTTAAATATATCAAAAATTTTTATCGATATTTTTTTAAAAATTTTTTTCTCGATTAATACACTTATTAAATTCACAATTTATCTATTTTCAATTGGACGAAATTTGACGAAATTTTATAAACTGGATATATACATATATATTTTAAGCTAGATTTATTGTTTGAATTAATTTTCATTGTGTTTGACAGTAAGTTATATTGGAATATCATATACTTTATTATAATATCTGAACCGGTACAATTAACAAATGAAAAAATTGCACAACTCCTTCATTGTATTTGTTCACCAACTTTGTTTTCGATATCCTTTTGTAATTGTTACTTTCAGTTAAGAAGCGTGACCCTTCCGTCAGAAATCTTGAGGCCCAACACACTTTTGACCAACTTGGTTATCGACGATCAAACTGACGTTTCTCATCTACAAGACGGTTACCTCGGAGACTGTGATAACGTTTTCGTGTACATAACCGACAGCACCAACCCCGGAATCCTGGTTTATGATGCTCGACGAGACACGGCATGGAGACTTTCCCATCCTTTCATGTTCCCCGACCCGGACTTTGGAATATTTTCGGTGCGCAAACTCTAAAAACCATTACCATTTTGTGCACGTACAAATAAAACTGTACTTGTTCTGACAATCCGACTCCGTATGTTTCTAGGTGGCCGGCGAATCATTCACCCTGATGGACGGCGTCATCGGTCTAGCCCTATCACCAATCGGCTCAGCTGGACGTCGCTTGTACTTCCAGCCGTTCGCCTCTGACCGACTCTTCTCCGTGCCCACGTCCGCTCTTAAGGCTGGTCCCAACTTGGGAGATGACGCAGACTTGCCCGTATCGTTGGTCGGTCACAAATCTTCGCAAGCCGCTCCCCTGGCCGTCGATCCCAAGGATGGTGCGCTCATATTCAGTCCCGTGTCCGAAACAGCCCTGGCCAGCTGGATTCCAGGATCCGTAGAACACGGGTGAGCAACTTTCATATAGTCTAAAGCCAAAGCCGATATTATTGATTTTCAACTTCTTTGAATTTCGTTGCCATTACATTTCTTAAGAATTTTCTCGAAATCGATAAGCCGAAACCGATTTCATTATAGTTCACAATGAAACTTTTACTTTTAATATAGTTTCGCGTTAAAAACATTGTTTGCTTGCAATGGATAACTGTTCTCTGCTGAAATATATTTTAAATATGGACGTTCGTAAGTGCAATGATTTTATTCGAAGAAATAAAGGAAAAAGTTCTACGCGTTAAAATTAGCTGTTTGTATTCTCACAGTTAGACAAGCATTGGTGAGTAGAGGAAAGTGAACTATACGCGAACTATGCAATGTTCTATACAAAATTTCAACAGTAAAAAGTCGAAATATTAAACGAGTATTGTGACAAGTATGGTTCAGGTATGTTTTGAAGTTTTCATAAAATGTATTGATAAAAAATATCACAACGCGACCGCATAATGTTGTCACGTAGGATGAAAATGTTCTGTAAAATGTTTTCGGACATGGCCTACGCTTAAATCTATTTGTGAACGTATACATTTTCTGACGGTAGTGATTCAGGATTTCCATAATTTGGCAAAATACTCTACGGACCCGAGTCGGGCCCGTATACAGCGTTCTCATTTAACCGTTTGTTGTTTGCGTGATTTCAGCGTGCTGGCGTATAGCCCGGAGGAACTGCAATTCGTGTTGGACATCAGATCGGCCGATCGCGACCAGGGTGCCATTTGGTTGGTATCGTCGAGACTCCAGAGATACTTCAAAAAGACGTTGGACAAGAGGGAAGTGAATATCAGGATCATGAGGGTGCAGAGGACGCCGGAATACTTCCCGTACGCGTTCAACAACAACAACTCGCTGCTGTTGTTCAAATGATCGCGAGCAACACGGATGGTTAACGATAATTTATTGCTAAAAAATTTGTACCTATATAAATACATGCACTTGTATATATCTAATATTAGACGCCATTCAGATAATAATAAGTAATTCCCGTTGGTATAGCACGCAGATACCTTGTACACGATAATTTTTAACGTTGCCATTTTATTTAGGACTACGTAATGGACGTAATCTACGTATCTTGCAAAGTAGATCGGTACGTTTGTGTAAATACTATTGTTAATATAACGATTGTAATGATAATAATACATTCCGCAGTCGAATAGGAAAACCGTTCGATGTTTTATTGATATTCACATGGCAAATGCGATTGGAATATTTTAGTTTTATTTTCTTTTATTCTTTTCTCGTTTGTATTTGTCTATCGGCAACACTCGAGAACCCAGTCAAATGAACGTGATTTTAAATTTTAATTCAATCCAAATGTAAATTGATTGTTTGTGAAACGATCTGAAGTATTACAACTTTTCACTCGAAAGGAAAACAAATGCTCAAGGGATCGCAGACATTAGACCTTGACGATAAAATACGAGTTCATTGTATACATTATAGCCACTTATTATCTACCGGGAACATAATTTATTTCCATAATACAATTATTCAGTTTGAATCAAAAAAATAAAAAAACGATCCCATCACGTCGCCTCACCAATAAACTTATATTAGTATTATCTACTCTTTGTTAACGTAAATATCTTTATATAATTGATCAAAATGTATTTGTGTAACATTGTAGTTTTTAAATATTATACTCTGAGATTTGTGTACTTTGTTAAACTATTAGTATTACATAGTATCTTCGATATCATATAATTATTATAATTGTGAATTATATTATGTAATATACTCTAATTATATTCAATGATAAAAAAAACTGAGCAGAGTTTTTTTTTAAATCGATTTTTGCTAGTAATATGAACTAGGTGTATGAAATTTATCGATTTCGTGGCCCCTAAATATGTTGGTCGTAATAAAATTAAACATTGTTTAATTTCATTATCATTTAGTTTATTTTAGGTGAAAATCTATTATTATTAGGTATCACGTTTGTGTTCATTATTCAAGGATACATCGATGTTTTGGTTTGCTTGATGCGTTCACGAGACAAGCTATTTTCACTATTGAAAGATTGTTATGTCATTACTACATTGAAGGTTAGATAAGTAATTTCAAATATTTATTTTCTCTTATTTTTCCATTCGATTTTTTACAAACGTGTACGTACGTGTTTATTTTACAGTAATACATTTCAGTGGTGAAATATTAAAAATATGACTATCCACAATTTTGGAATCTCGCACTATACTACCAGATGAACGTGACGGGATTTATAAAATTTCGAATTTGTAAAATTCTCCTCATCCTCATCCTCCTCACACATAGTACAGTGGTTTATCAATTAGCACAATAATTGTTCGTAATTAAAACAAGAAAAAAAACTGTACAATACTTTAGCTAACTATTTTGTTGCACAGCTCCAAACATAAATTATTAAAACTAAAATTAAATTCCGTCTCTTAAAGATAAATACTCGTTATTTCGATGACTTTGATTATGATTTTTTTTGAACTTTCAATATTGATAACAGAATAATAAAATTTTATTAGGTTATAGTTCGTTGTCAAACGACAGTACTGCTGTGCTGTAACAATTGTAAAAAATATGACCACCGTTTGAAAATTTTTATGCTTATAATAAATATTTATATTTATATTTGTATTTACACATGAACTATTTAACTATCTAGATGTATGCCGTTTGCCGATTACCAAGAAATTAAGACAGTCAACATTTTATTTGTTCACTGCTAAAAAGATTTAAGTTTTATAAACGATTTGAAGTAGTACAATCATTAGGCGTCAGGCGTTCCCTTTTAATACGTTTTTATGGTGCTTTGTTTTAATATTAAATATTTATCTCTCACTACCTATTATTTCATTTTATTATGCTCATCATTATTCTTAAAATAAAATTCGATCCAAGGACGAGGGCCTAGTCAAATTGAAATGTTTAGTTTCAACTATTTGAAATGCTCCAATTTATTTATTTCAATAAATATTATTATTATTATTATTATTATTATTTGAAATGCTCCAATTGTAATCCTATAAACATTTTGTTCCATAGATAATGATAATCAGAAGAACAATGGTATTAGAGGAAGACACATATTTTTTTTTATAATTTACTAGTACTTACAAAAGTATTAATCTAATAAATTTAAAAGGAACATAAGAGTAAAGAGAATAATACTAGGACATGGTTCCTTTAGATCCGCTAGTATATGTATAAAATTATTTTTAAATAATAATTCTGATTTTTATAGAGGTATTACGGTTATTTCGTATTTATTTATGAACAGTATAAGACAGAAAGATGAAATCGGCAATATTATACGATGGAGAAATGGACCTAATAATTGTTAAAATACACATAATCGACAAGTTTTTTTAGGTGTAAGTGATTGTTTGGTTGCCTATCGTAAAGATTTTGGTAAATCGATATTTTTGTTACATATATTATTAATTAAATAAAGTGCCTGTTTATACTTCATGTAAAATAATTTTATCTAAATATGTATTAACAGTAGTTAAAATTGTTTGGATCCCAAATCATTTTTTGGCAATCGCCTATTATTAATTTTTTTTTTTTTAAATAAAAACTCCAACATCTCAGGTTATTTCATTATTGTAGAAGAGAACAATTTAGTGAGACATAAAAGCTGTAAGGAAATGCCAGTTACACGAGTACCAATCATTCTTTATCAGAAATGACATACGCAACCTGGCAAACATTTTTCTCCAATACTATATTTTTCTATTATCTCTGTTCTATTTATAATGGACTTCTATTGTGAAATGAATACAACCATCTCAACAAGAAAACGTTTCTGCCTTTTGGTATAGTCAATAGTGTCTATCAAAGTAAAGAATTGTAATATTAGAAATGAATATTTATAAAAGATAATTGAAAACTATTTTTGAAGTTGAACATCTCTACAATTCATAAATTTCACTGAATTGTTTTACGACCGTTAAGCGAGATGAAAATATTTTCTGTTTGAGTGTTCAAATCCCCCTCCCCCCATTTTAACGAAATTAAAAAAAAAATGATTGCTTAATACTTTTATTTAATTTAATCATAATATCATATATATTTTCCAGTATTATTTATATAATTCGTTGTCGATTTATCTAGTACTATAAAATTATTATCTTGTGAAATAAATACATTTAAAATACATGATAGTAAATATATTAAACCCCATCCCCATCGAAATAAACTCTGAGGCACGCCTCTAAATATGTGTATACGTCAAAATATTTTATACTTAAATATATTAAACTACTACCACAAACGGTTCACAATGAGCATGATAATAACGCATTGAATAAAATGTCTTGTCCTTGATATTTTTATTTGCTAATTTTTTTTTTCTTAGACATTTATAAATGTTTAAGTTAGGTATTTATAAAAAATGTATTAATATACTTCAGTTGTAAATATGTTTTTCGAAATAAATGAAAACGTAAAAAAATGTTGCCTAATTAAAGAATAGTAGTCAAAATACATGTATACTACTTCTTCGTCGTGTGTAATAATAATTCATTTTTTTGTTAATTTAGAAAGTCCAATGATGTATCAACAAATTAATGTATGATTATTATTCAAGTCACTAACCATAAAATACAAATTCTTAAACTGACAAAACGATTTAGCTATTACCGATAAAGATTTTTAATAAGATACTGAGAACCGAAAAGTTTTTACTTAACACAAGCATATTATATAATATACTGATTTCTAAAAAATGTTAAGACTATTTATATTATATATTATATTTATTTTTTATATTTCTGTTATATATTACATTTAATGGTAAAAACCTGTATGTAATGTGTAATTATGTTCGTAATGGCAAATGTGAATAAATAATTAACGATAACAAAAACCAAAATCATTCTATAACTTACTCGTATATCCGATTAATATAAAATCATTGCACGTATCATAAGAAATTTCTATTACAAGTCGAAACCGTTTCTAGATGTTCTAAGCACGCTAAAATGGAAACGATCGTGAATATGGACGTTTATGTTTATTATGCGTTTTTGTGTGTTATGCTTTAACGAAAATGTATGTTATTGAACCAACATTTTTCACTAAGTTAGAATATTAAAATATTTATTGAGTAGTTCACATGGGCACGAGTATACTATTTAATTTTGATTGGTTAAGCTTTAGCTTTATTTTAAGTTTTGTTTGAGTTAATATAATAAAATAAAAATAAAATGATAAAATTACCATTTATAAAATGACGTCCATTGTTTTGTCAAGGTAGTTATACATAATAACATTGTACACCAGGTAGTCGATGATAGGTATAGTGAATATCATTATATATTTATACACCGCGCATGCAGGACGAATAACACAACATAGCACGAGGTATAATGGTAAAAAAACGTGTATGATACGACTGTTGCATACCACGTGTAAAACCGAGTAAAAACTAAATTTTCGTTTTACTGGCAAGGACAATGGATTTAAACTGCCAACCTATGAACGTTCAGGAGAAACTATTGATTATGAAACCTATTCGTAAACTATTTCAAACATAAATGCATTCAATTGCAATTAACATCTTATTGGTATAAAATTCGTAACGTATCATGTGTATTATCGATGGAATGTACACATAATTGAGAACCGGAAACAGAAAGATTCTTATACAATAGACGGAGATCAGCTCGAAGGATTTCCACTGCGTTATGAATATAATTTAACATTCGAATGCGTCTAACGGGCTAATACGCGCCAAAGTCGTACGTTATATAGAAAGTGCCGTGTATTGTCTTATACATTTCAACAGTATTGACGTAAACCTTATAAATATTCTATTAGGCGTTCTACGATACGACCATCGGTTTTATTATATAAATATTATATTATAAAACCAATATGATCCAGTATACCCCGTTTTGTATCTGACGGAATAAGGGATGGGCACTTAAGAGCTATATATCACTTCACTCATTCTTTTCTATTCACATGAATAAATAAATTGTCAATCGAATAGTACGTATTTATTTTATTACTCGTAAGCCCGTTTCAACTTCTAACTGTACACACGCACGAGTATCGGTACCGAGTAACATCCACCTCCGCGTTTGTTAATTTCTTTCAAAGTCAGATGAATTTGTTCCATTATGTGTGGTCAGTTGATACATGAAATTCGAATCAGAAA